GCTCCACGCGAGGCCTCGGTTATCTGGCGGAGAAGCTCGACATCCCGCAAGATCCCCTTATCGTTACCTCTATAGACATCCTCGATCTCCCGACCGACCGTCTGTGCCAAAATCGACGGCAGAGACGAGATACCGTCCTCCGGACGGTCAAGGGCGGCAATGTTGACCAGAGTTGCAACCGCCTCGAGTGCAGTCGGGGGCTCACCGATGACGTGGAGCCCGCACGGGAGAAGCCTCGACTCGATCTCCATGATCTTCGCGTAAACTTTACCGACCACATTATCCCGCTCTTTTGCCGGAATCTCGGCGCTCTCTTCCGGCAAGTCGACGTCTTTGTCGAGGTTGCATTGGCGGGCCGTGCTGACAATCGAGCTCACGATCTGCGGGGCCCGGCCCGTATCCTTGAGCGACTGGTAAGACGAGATGAGCTCGCTCAGCTGCTTGAGCCCTTTGTAGAGTCCCGCGTTCTCCGCCGGAGGAGTTAAATAGCTGATCGTGTTCGCGTAGCTTCGCCGTTTAGCGACAGTGGCTTCAGACGGGTTGTTCGCGGCGTAATAGTAAACGTTGGGTATATTCCCGATGAGGCTATCGGGAAAACACGCGTCGCTCATGCCGACCTGTTTTCCCGGCATGAACTCGAGAGAGCCGTGAGTCCCGAAATGAAGAACAGCGTCGGCTCGGAAGATTTTCTCGACGAACGAGTAGTAAGCCGCGAAGCCGTGGTGAGGACTGGCCGATTTGGAGAAAAGGAGACGCATGGGATCGCCTTCGTAACCGAAAGTTGGCTGGACGCCGATGAAGACGTTACCGTATTGTTTTCCATAGACTAAAAGGTTTTCGCCGTCTGAATTAAGGTTGCCCGGGGGTTTGCCCCAATTTTCCTCGAGGGCAGGGGCGTATGGGGTGAGATTCTGGTAATCGCGAACGGGCATTTTGTAGGCGATGTTGAGATTTGGGCTGTTGAATTGGGCCTCCTTGTCGTGGATGACGTCCTCGATCAGGGCTTCGGCTGTGTCGGGAAGGCCTTCGACATTATAGCCGTCGGATTTGAGGTCGGATAAGACGGAGAAGATGGAGGCAAAGACGTTGAGATATGCGGCTGTTCCCACATTGCCCTTGTCGGGAGGGAAGCTGAATACAGTGATTGCTAGCTTCTTTTCGGTCTGCGTGTTGGGGAAAGATACAAAGAATCTGAGTTATGGAATTTGGATTATAGGTATTTGTTCTTTTTTTCTGTTTTTTCTGTCTTTTGTTATCTGTAAATGTATTTTCTTGATCTTCTTCAACTGGTAATTGTATATAGCATGAGTTGAGGCAGGTAATGTTGATTGTTGAGAAGTAACTATAAATACAAAGAATGCATCAGAGGACAAATTGTTGTGCAAATTATATATTCGCTACAGAGGGATCTTGGTTTTTATGTCTACGGTAGGACATAATAAAGAAGAAGAACAAAGTTTCACATTCTCATATGACTATGAGCCTTCAACTCGTACAAGGACTTGTAGTTGTGGAGTTTTTGAGATAGTATGCATGAGTGTACAAGAATCTATGGAAACCACTCGGTCTGAATAACATCAAATCTGTTTCCATTCTAATTGTTGATAAGAGCAAGGCCTAGATTCTTAATATATATATATATTTGGGCTAGAACTTCGTATGATTTGAATTACAAACTACATAGTGCAGTAGGTACCTTTGACTTCCTCCTCAGCTCAGCCCATTTGATAGCTCTGGTGCAAAGCTGCTCCACCCTTTTGTGAAGAGCATGCGATTTTCCTATCAACATAATACACAAAACACCAAAATATAGTGAGTTCACAAATGCACTGAAATGTAAGGGAAAGATAAAGTTCCACTAGCTTTTAGATTCTAATTAAATCATGCATGATGAGGAGTGAAGTGAACATTACCCCCAAGTAGTCCACAGTTACTCTACAGGGAAAACNAAAAAAAAAAAAAAAAATATTAATCAGAAACTTGACAGCAACAAGACTTAACTCACCAGTTCTAGGATCTCGGCCCGCAAAAACAATGGGCTCCATACCACCATCCAGCTCGGGCAAAGCAACTTGCAAAGCCACCTGAATCGGATGAAGCCCCAAAGTACTATTCAGCCACTCCTCAGTCGTCTGGAAAACCAACGGCAAAGCCACAATATACGGCACGTCCAGCTTCATCAATGCCTCAACCGCCCTCGGATGGTCCTGCCTGGCCGGGCCCCCGACAAGAGCAAAGCCCGTTAACGACACCACAGAGTTCACCATGGGCTTCTTCGTGATCGGGTCCACGAAATACCTCTCGACTGGGCCCGAGAAGTCAAGCCCGCCCGCAAAAATCGGTATCACCTTCGCACCTTTTGCCTCAAGCTCCATAATAACCGCCACGTAATGGCTCTCATCCCCTGTAACTATATGACTCCTCTGCAGAACGAGCCCGATAACTGGAGCATTCGGGCTTTTAAGCTGCGCGTTCGTATCTCTACGGCTTGAGTACCAATTTAAATACTCCTTCACATCATCATACATGCAAGGAGCAAGAGGGTGCCAGATTCCACTATCTAAGTACAGAACCGGGTCTGAGTACTCGATTTTCAGCCCCTTCAGAGTTGGCACGTACGAGCCCGAAATCATTTTGACAAAATTCGAGATGTTATCGGGCGAGCCCCCGAGCCAAAACTGGAGGCTGAGGATATACATTCTCGCGTCCTGAGCCTTGTCGCTCGGCAAATACTTGAGAACCTTGGGCAATGTTCGAACGAGCTTCAGCATGCTATCGGCAAAGCCCGCGGAAGATTTGTTCTTCTTCTTGAACAGCTGGAAAAATGGGCTTTTCGACTGGCCCAGCTGGGACATGCTGAACGAGCCCAGTTTGTTGAGTCTCATGACCTCAGGCATTGAAGGGAATACCAAAACTGCATCAAGCCTGTCCCTTTCTTTTTCGACGGCGGATTTGACTTTCAGAGCCAACTCCTCGACAAAAATCAACGACCCGATAAAGATATTTGCGTTTTCGAGGTCTTTACAGAAGGTTTTGTATGTGTTTTCGTCTCTAAGCTCTTCTACCAAGTAGCCCACGACCTCGAACGAGGCAAAGTCGGAGTCTTGGTTGAGGGTTTGAACGGCGGCGGTCAGGGACGACTGGTACTGGGCTTCCAGAACGACGTAGACGATTTTCACGGTGGGGAGGCCTCGGAGTTTGTCCGGCACGACACGGCGGACCTCGGGGGTTGTCTGGGTGAAGAGGCCGTTGCCGATTGCGGCGCATTTGAATTTGTGGGTGGACGGTGGTGGTGGGTTTGGGGTGGGCTTTTTGGGCAGGAACGAGTGTAAGAGGTTGTTCTTTTGAGAAATTGATGAGAGTTTGGAGTTGGGCGGTGTGAATGTAGGTGAAACCAGAGACGCCATTGTTGGGGGCTCTGTGTTTTCTTGATTCTTGATAACAGAGGATGAAAATGAACAGAAAAAAAAAATTGATTTAAAAAAAATATAAAAAAACTATGTACACAGAGAGATGGAGAGTAGAATCAGTAGAAGGGAAAGTGAATTTAGGAAGGCAGAAAAAAAAAAAGTGAACCTTCAAATTTCAAAGTTCAAAATCTCTGTGTAGTTTTTCGAGATTTTCTAAATTGTTTTCTGTTCCTTTTCTTTTCATATATAAAATTGTGAGCAAGAGAGAAGGTGAAGTAACTGCTGGGTTTTCAGTTCATGGTCAGCAGGGGTGACACGTGGCAGCAGTGCAGAATCCTTTTAGAGAGAGAAAAAGAAGGTGGTGGGATTTTTGTACTATGTGCTTGGGGGGTTTATCTATTGATGAAGTTTCCTGGATTCTGATTGGTTGGTCTGGATTTTGGGGGTGAGTGTGGATGATAATCAATGAAAGTAAGATAAATTGTAATGACTAATGAGATTTTAGAGTCACTATTATGGGTCACTGTTGTTTGGAAAAAAAGATTCGATATTTTTCTTAGCTATTAGTGACCCTCAATGAAAGGGAATTGATATTTAATGGGGTGTGCGTTTTATAGAGCTCCAAGTCTCTCATTTTCGTTCATTCCAGGAAGCAAACAACAGTAAGAACAAACAAAATGTTAAAGAGTAGTGTGTGATAAACACACGTATACGGTACATCCATAACTNAATTTGTTTTTTTCATCCATTTAGTAAGGTTTTAAGATAGATCAAACGGTTAAATAGTCAGGAGAATTCGATACTACTATTGATATCTAATTTATTTTATCATGAGATAACACACAATGTTGTAGAGAAACCCAATGACTAATTAGTCAGGCAATTTGATTCTACCGTTCATACTTTATTTTTTTTCTTAACACGTTGAATCACACAAACTCACATCTATATGAGTGTTTGATTCAACGATAAAAAGAGAGAAAAAAAAGATTATGAACAATTACGTACGAATTTTCTCAAATGTTCATATTTTTTGTACATATGCGTACTTCCAAATCGAGTGTAACTCTAATTACAATATAAATAAAGTGATGACATTTTATAGAATGAATATATATTTTTACTACAAAAATAATGATCAATCTAGTTAATGGTTAGACTGCTTCATGATGTACTTACTAGGGGAAATTCAAATAGCCTAACGGTTATTCACTCTTCAATATTTTTTTGGAATCTTTCGATATCAATCTTCCTTAAACCTACTCTAACCATACTAGTAATGCATATACTCAAACTAAAAGAGAGAAAAATCTACTTCAGTTATATTTCAAATTTAGACTTACAAAACCATATTGTAAAATTCAAATTTAGTAAAATGGTTATTAAAAAATATTATGTAAGTTTATGTTCTTGATTGTACATTTGATTATGGTAAAGTGAAAATTACTTGTTCATGTCAAACTACATGCTTTGTGTTGAGTTCACGTAAGCCTAGGTACATCATCGCGCCTAACATGCATCGTAGGTGCATTAACCAATTACTTTAAGCTTATGTAGGCCCATAATAAGCCCAAATAAAATTAAGCTACGTCATCCTTTCAGCCCATTATCACACACAGGCTCCGCACCAATGACTTGCTGCAAATCCGGTTGCCACAGAGACAAATATTCCGCCAGTGAAGACGATCGGATACACCACAGTAAAATAAACGTTTCTGTGTGATGTATACATTTTGCAGGCTGCTTTTGAAAATGGATAACACCAAAATTGTTCACACAACAATGAGATTAAGGAAATTAACAAACAGGCGCAGATAAATTAATCACTATTAAAGGTATATAGTTGATTCCAAATGGCAGTTGTATGGACGCTTTTCTCGACAGTGTGATTCCACAAGCACATTCATAGATAAAAAGAAGAAAAAAAAAAAAAAAAACANAAAAAAAAAAAAAAAAATACTTCCAAAACCTGTTGTAAAGATGTGAAGTACAAATCTCACCAACACTCGAAACGAAACATTCATATAGTCAAGACGCATTGAATACATGCCGGCACAACATGAATCCATCAATCGAATGTTAACTTCTGTCAAAAAAAGTTGTTTTCTACAGTATAATCCTGCTCCTCGGCACAGATAAATCCTCAGTTATCATGAACCTGAGAAAAGAATTCCTCTAGTTGAGTTTCACTCACCAGCACCCCAAGTTTTTCCGACTGAACTGTACTTATTGTCTCTTCCCTAATGCTTTTCACAACATCGACAGATGACATTTCCATGTACTCGTTCAAGTTGTGAGCAGTCCCATCTGTAAAAACAAAACACAGTAAAAAGATATTAATTGCAGATGAAAGTATGAAACATGCAGCCAAAACAATCCATATTTAAATTTATTCCTAATAATGGAAGCTCGTACAAGTGTGGGAGTTTATATTGCGTGATTTTCACCAACGCTCAAGCAAACCCCGTGAAATAAATTTTAAACAGCAACTTGTAGAAGAAATTATTTAATGTGGATTGATTACAGAAAACTTTTTTCTTTATGAAGTTCATCACAAAAATATATTGTACGTACCTTCAGCAACGATTACATCATATGATGGTGGTGGGTGAATCCAATTTCCTGCAGAATCCTTCATGTGTCGTCTATCAGATGCAAACATTTTCAGGAATATCGGCGCATGCAAAATCCGGAAAACCCTGAAAGTAAAACCAATGTATTTGCAAACTAGTTAGAGAACTTCACTCGAAGATAGTTGAGAGTTGATACGTGAGAAATCTTGTATCATTTTGTAATTTAATTTGTATATTTGAGTATTTGAGTTGAGTGTAATATTCAAGTTTTTTCACATATTTTTTTTGGTTAACGGATGTACACCAATATTCGATTTTGTGTCCATTTTGCAGTTATTACGTCTATTGATGATGTGTCATTGGTAAGGTGGCAAAATAAATAGTCAAGAATGTGGATTACGACTTAACTTGGCCGAACACATGCAACAATATTACCATTTGTTTGGTTTGACTTTTGAAGAGGACTATTATTAACTGTTGATGTGGCCGAGTTTAAAGTGAATTTTAATTCCCTTTGAGGGCTGAATTAGTTGACATATGCGAGAGTGCTGCTTGGGGATTGGAATTGGTGGGAGTCTTCAATTAATGCAATTTATCTTATTTTTACTTGTCGTATAAAATTGTTTGTGTTATTCTAGTTACATGTCATAATGTGTGTTCTTTAATTTAGCTTGATCACTTAAGTTAAGTTGCATGTTAATTGCTAGATTTAGGACTTTGATCCGTAATTGTCGTCATTCTTAGTTCATTCGTAGGAACTAATAGTCGCGCACTGTTAGGGATAATACAACATAAGTTACATGAACCGAACTTTTGTGTTTGTGGCTTAAATCAGCCTACTTTCCTAGATTTTAATGCAACTAGTGAATTAAATTAGGAGAACTTATACCGAGTTGTTCGCTAGTTACATTTAATTGAAGAGCCTTTTTCGATTAAAGTAAAATTAAGAAAAAATTCAGGTGGCAGAGCTTATTGCTATCTCCGACCGGTAATTTTAGCAGACGAGTGAGATTTGATAAGTGTATTTATTGGACTAGCTAATCGAGGGTGTAAACCGACCTGAGACCGATTTCATTCTTATATTTGCTAGATTATTTTTTTATTTTCGGTTTCATCATCTCTTGCATTTTAATCCAGTTCTAGTTTATTTACTTGTTTCGTAAGTAGTGGCATATTGAATCAAAATCCCTCCCTTTTACTTTAATTACCACACTCCTCAGTGGGATCGACCCTTGCTCGCCATTACTACTAGTTAGCAGGTGTTAGTCGAGGAAAATTTTATAAATCTAAATTTGCCACGTTGCAAAGCGCGGTCAAGAGTAAACCTTGTATAAGACCTTAACACTAGTTAACTGGTAGATTGTAATTATTCAGTTAGTTCAGAAATTCAGTGCATAATCCCAAATTTCACGGAAAATTTTGAGGACATCACCTAATTATTTACCTCTGATACTCAGAAAAAAGCTGAAACGAAGGCCGAACAGTTTCAGCTACGTAAGTTGTTAGGGGAGATGGAAAAGGAAGACTTGAGTCTAAATCCCACACTAGATGAGGCAAGTTGCTATCTTTCCTTTTCTGCAAAAGAGATCATAAAAAATGATATTGTAATGAAGTTGAGTTGTTGGTCACACAATTCGATCTTCAATGAGATAGTTAATAGGTACTTCTTGTCACCTGTACGCATATAACATGATAATCCCAGAGAATTACTCCATCTGCTCTATGGCTTGCCTTCTGATGCCACAATGGAATCTGATAATTTATGCATTGAAAGAAAAATTAAACTATTGAACTCGAGTCTATGAGCCTCAAAAATGTGTGTGTGTGTGTGTGTTCTTTTTTTTTTTTTNAAAGGTTGTTAAATTTATATATCCAAATTAGAGGAAAATGCTAGACAAGAATAAGGGAGTTGCAAATGCTTCTTACAAGAGGAGAGAATAAGAGGCTTCCAACTAATTTTTTTCAGATAAAAGCCAAGAAACACTTCTAATTAGGAGCTATTGCAAGGACTCGTTAAGATATCATAACAATAAAGCCTATAAATCAAAATAGATGAAGAAATAGTGAGCTGCTAAAATTATGAACTATACTTGTACTTTTTTCTTATCTCGCTTTTCATTTTTATTTCCCCCAAAAGATGAGAGAAAGGGCCTTGTTTGGTAATTAGTGGTTTGGGGGTAGAAGTTTGACCCGTCAGAACTCTAACGTTACTATTTGTTAAGTCCACAAAGCTAATTTCGAAAAAGCTCAAAATATAAGCTAGAGGATTGGAATTATTTACCAAACACTTGTGCATATCAGCTATTTCAATCAATCAGCGATTACACCTAATTGAATCAGCTATCAGCCAACAGGGCTTAACGACACAATGTAAGAAATTTTCTTCCATACTAATCAAAATCAAATATCTTGAATTCTCAAGTTTTCTATCCAACGCCGATGATTAATAAGCTCAGACAAATTCATAAACAAAATTTGCAGATTAGCCTAAAAAATTAACAGCAACAGAGTAGCTTTCACAGCAATTACAGAAAATAAATATCAAAACCCACCAACAAAATGAAATTAATAAAATTACCAGTAATAAGGGGTGTGATTGAAACGAGCTGATGACAAAGACGAAGCAGGCGTCTCCAAATTCGAAGTCGCCATTTTTCTGAGCATTTGATTTCCTTTATTGTTTATTCCACGTTGTATACTGCCAATGTAAAGTGGGCTCTACTTTTCCAAATCATTTTCGGACTTTACATTAGCCCAATATATCAGGGCCTTGCAGAGAAAGCCCATTAGCCTTTGGCAAAGATATAACCGAAGAAGGCCCACAAAATCTCTCTACTACAAGACTCGCACTTCAAGACCAGAACTTCAAGCCCAATGGACTCGCCTGAGGAACCCGCTGCCGGCGGATCACGTGAACCGCTGGGTGCGGCCGCCCCAAGGCTGTGTGCCTCTGCCACACCATCCCCTCCAACCAACTCCGCTACCCACGGCCAACGAGCGCCACCGCAAGCTCGCCGTCGTCCCCTTCCTCTCCAAATGTCTAATGGACTACAAAATCAACGTCGGGCGTCAGCTGAAATACGGTCAATCGAAGCTTATCGATTTTACAGCTAAGATCATGTCACAAAAATCCTAGCTTTAATTTTATTTTCTACAGTGTGTTGGACGTTATTGAAGATTGGTCTATGATTGGAAATTAATACTCTCGTTTTGGGAAAATTTGACACCAATGGGCTTTTGAGGAGCTAATGATAAGTTTAGATAAAGTTCCAATTTTGATGCAAGAGAGTGAATGTGCCAGGAGCTTTGTAAGGAAACACTTACACACACACACAAAGGAATCAAATAGTGTGTCTTGAAAGAAAACTGTGTTTAAAAAGCTGTGGCATTTGTGAAAAAAAAACTATCTTTTGTCTTGGATGATATCTCAAATTAAGGATTCTGATACCAAATTATATAGTTCATTCTAGTTTCTTGCTTATTATAAGCTAATGCATTTATATGTCTTTCTTGTATTGATGAACGTATTGTTTAGGGTCCTAATGCTACGCGGGCCTATGAGAATTCTCATGAGCAAAATGGAGGCACTTGCCAGGTGTTGCATTCGAGTCTTACAGTATTGATATCGAGTCAAAGATCATTGAAGTTTTCAGAGAAATGGTTAGTTTGCAGGCTGTCTTCTTGAAACCTGAGAGACCCAAATCGAAGTTAATAAAACGCCGCAAGGAGAAAAATGATGGCCTTGTTTCTGTTAGTTATATTGAAATCTTGACTGCTGATTTGTTGTGGCTCACCTATTCTTGATATTTATGTTTTTGTACGATTCTGGAGAAATTGATTTGAAACCCCGCATGACACGTATGCTGGGATCTTCTCTGTTCCTATATTATAAACTGGTGAAAAAGCTGACAGAGAAAGGTAGAACAACAGGATTTTTATATACGGAAGCAAGATATCGACAAATTTTTTTTAAGTTTGTGCGGCATAATAGCATGCGTGTGCTTCACATATTTGAGCCCCTTGAGTTTTGAACTTCATCGATCCCTTAAAAACCCGTGTTCTTTAATTCGTATCAAAATGTACTTTCTGCCTTTGTTTGTCGTCTATCTTTCTCAGATTTAACCACAAGCATGTGTCTTCTTATACTTGTTTCTTCATCATTTTACGCATGATTGTCCCATCGATTGTTACAAACTATCTAACTTACCGGCTAGATCTTTATGTGTGGGTGAATATGGGTTGTGATTGATTTACATATGTTTCATTATTGGAATTGAGGGCCTGTATTTGGATGTCAGGCTGTTCTTCCTGGGGGACCACTTATGCTTTACCCCTTTTTCCTTTTATCCCATGATAAGTTGTCTCGATTCTGGTTTGTCCTCCGTTCGGCATTGTTTATTTATCCATCTTGATCGTGTCTTGACCGAAACACGAATGGGTGTAAGTTGTTTGTGTTTGTGAATCGAGAATATTGATGTTTTTACTTGTTTATGAATTTTTGNTGATATATTTTAAGAAAATACCAACAATTTAAATATTTGTATAAACTATATATCCTACAATTTCTTTTAGTAAGCTTATATCCTAAAGTTTCCAAACAGCTGATGTAAGATGGCCTACGGTAATTCAGTCATACTTTCTTACCAAAAATGTCAAGAATTACACTACGAAATGTCGTATTTTTATTCGTATTGTGTTTCTAAATATGACAGTGAATACAGAAGTATGTGCATTTATTGAAAATTGTCTAATATTAGCCAGCCTAACATAAAATCCAACAAAAAGACCAGATCTTTGAGGATTAGGGGAAGATGGAAATAGAGTCATTTCATAATTGAGTTGGATATAAACAAAATAAAAGTCTATATATAGAAAATATTAGGTCAATAATGTGAGAAAATATATATATATATATATACAGTTTTTTCTCGTTGGTTGCCTTTGAAATGTCATTTTCCAGTCCAACTTCAATAGCAGGCCATGTTATGTAAAAGTAGCCGACTAGCCGGCCACTTATTTAAATATTTTCTCCATACTCCATATTTATGGACTATATCGTCAAACTTTTTGTCATTAAAGCTATTAATTTTTGGTTCAAATGTCATTAAAGCCATTTAAATATATAATTTTTGGTGCATGCTCTTGAATTGTTCTTTGAAAATCTGAAGGACGGTCTTAAAACATGTTTAAATGTTAAGTTGGTTCAATTGAAAAGTACAGCTTTTTGGACCATGGACAGGTATAACTTATAAGTTTAGATAATCATCATTTTTACTGTGTATTTTAAAATTAAAATGTTATATCTACCGAACATCATAAATAAAAGATATTCAATAGTATAATTAAGTATTTTTGTTAGAAATGTATGATGGGTCTAACTTTCATATTTAGCAATAAGATAAATATTCTTTTCACCATATATACATACTTTAAATCGAAATGAAATTATCTAAAAATGACATAAAGTATGCATTTCATAATGCAATGTGCATTTCTTTTAGAAATGTGCTAGGGCCGACTCGCCTAACTTAGGCCCCTTTGGCTGTTAGCCGATAGCGGATATCATATAGTTAATTGTATCAACAGATAGCTAATAGTGGGTTGTAATAATAATTGATTTGATTAGTTGATTAAATTAGCTATTTGCAAACTATTGTTTAGTAAACAACGAATTATATATTTATTTGTTATTATATAATTTCTCCATCAAAACACTCCTATATTTAGATTTTTTTAAAAAAAAAAACTAGCATATTTGAAGGGCCAAACATGTAAATGAACCTCAATCTTTTAATTTTACACTAATTCACTAAAAATCCAAACATAACAATAATTTGAAGTATGTTAGGTTAATTGGGAATATGTTAAAGTCAATCTTCACGTCAAAGTAACAAAGTAAACACTGCGAAATTAAGTGACAATAAGAGTGGAGCTTACGTTGTTTGGGTGGCAACATGCTAACAATTCATAAATAATAATAAGTTTATGTGTAGGAGTTATCAGTTTACTGGAAATGACAATGACATTAACCAGAAAAATGCGTTGTACAGTTATCCAATTCCAAAAGAAACATTAGAAAGGGATATGTAATTATATAAAATTTTTCAATAAAATAGTTTGGATGTTTTTCTTTTAGAGCAACAATTCAAAAAATTTTGATAAACACCACATGTATGTACAAATTTGGACATGGAACATTTTTATTTTTGTCTGAGCTATCAAGATTTATATAATTGAGATGTGGATTAAAACAAAAAGTTTAATGTGCTGTTTTTTTTTTTTT